GAAATAATCCAAACAAGGAAACCCTCATGTATATACCTTGTATCTCAAATTGTAAATCCTTAAATATCAATCCCCAAAATCTAATACAGGAAACAATAAAATAAAGAATACTAACCCATCTCAGAACTCAAATACCATGTCATGTCATAACCCACATAAGTGTCATGTCCAGCTTATGTAAGTATAAGTGTCATACTCAAGGTTTAAACAGATGTCCACCACACGGACTAAACTAGAAGTAATGGATGTCCAACACATGGACTGTATATGTAAATTGTCCAACACATTGACTGGAAAATGAATGTCCAACACATGGACTGAATGTGATTATTGTCCAACACATGGACTACACATAATAATTACCCAACATATGGACTAAATGTAATATATGAAAAAGATGCATATACACTAATTTCACACGTGTCTCAGTGTGCAAATCCAAACTCGTGTCCGCAAGTCATCTCACATGCAGAGATGCATAATAAACAATAAATTTCAAAAAAATCAGATATTCGAGACGACTCCTCGTTCACATGGAAGCACGCAATAACAGTAAATATGTCCAAACAATTTCGGTTGAACTGAAACAACCCAAACAGATCCAAACCGAGGAAAACTAGAAATTTCCTTATCAGTCGACTCATGAGTCGATTGGGATCATCGGTCGACTCATTGGTCGATTGGTCAGACAGAAAAAAGGAAAGCTAGAAATTCCCGTCAGTCGACTCATTGGTTGACTGGTAGGTCGACTGAGCAGACAAATCTCCAGTTTCTTACATATGATATTATTTGCAAAATCATTATATCCCAAGCATAATATTACACGTTCTAACATATATTAATTAGTTTAAAACAACATTTTAATATGTAAAATCATCACCAAAAATTCGAAACATGTATACATAGGATTTAAACATTTTAAAGACTATAAAACGAAACTTTAAACTCTTATTAAAGTTGTTTCAGATCTAGATCTCTGTATTAAAAATTGTTGGTGAGCTTTTTATAAACTGAAAATTTGATTTCTCACATCATATGCTATAAAGATCTACTTTTATACACAAAATAATGATTTAGGCTCAATAAATCCGAAATAAAACTCAATAAAATTATACAAACAGTGGGTATAGGGCTGGGCGAGATGTTACTCGCCTCTGGTATGCTGCAAAACTCCTGAATCTACAAGAGAACGATCTCCTTTGCTGCACTGCACAAAATCCTGCTGCAAACCCCTTCGAAACTCCTCCAAATCGCCAAAATCCGAGCTAGGGTTTGAGAGGGAGAGAGAGGGGTTTTGTGAGATCTGATGGGTTTGGGGTTGGTTTCGGGTAAAAGAATATATATATAATACGGTAAAAACCCGAACAAAACCCAACAGACCCGCAAACTAAAAAAAACTAAAAATCAGCCCGTCAGCCGACTCATAGGTCGACTCATAAGTCAACTGAGCAGAAATTTTCCAGATTCGTACATGTTTTGCTTATTTGCCAAAACCAATGCACAAAACTCTATAAAAATAAACTCATACATCTCTAATAACTTGTTATCAAGTATATCTATAACCTCAAGTCATTTACCACAATAGAATTATTTATCATCAATAATTCACATATCTTCATAACAAAAAAATATGGGGTTTTACAACTTTTTATAAATTTCAAATTTAATAGATTTTCAATTAGTTATGTTCATTTCAAAAAATTTATGGGTAATATTTACCATGAAAAGTTTTTACTAAACCTATACTTTTAAAAGGTGTATGATATTTTTTACAAAATTTTAACTTTCTAGGGGTTGTTAGTAATTTTACATATTCATTTTAGTGTCTATAGGTTAGAAATTCTCATGGAGTTTTTTTTTGTAAATTATGAATTTTAAGGACTTTTTGTAATTTTTTAAACTTATAGGCATTTTCTACAGATTGTAAATTGTTTAGAGACTATTAATACTTCCTATGCTTTCAATTTACTAATGAATTTGAAATTTTTAGGGTGTTTTTTATAAATTTTAAATTTTAAATGTTTGTTTATAATTTTTAAAACTTTAAAGGTGTTTTCTATAAATTATAAATTATGTAAGGAATATTTATAATTCATATATTTTTAATGTACTGTTAGGTCATAAATTACTAGAAGTTTTGTAAATTTTATAATTTTGAGGGTTTTATTCAGTAATTTGTAAAAAATTCAGAGTGTGTATTGCAAATTCCATAAATTTTTGGGGGTTGTTTGTGTTATTTATAGGTTTTTAGTATGTTTATAAGTTTGACATTTTCACGATGTTTTTTATAAATTTTATAATTTTAGGGGTGTTTTTGTAATTTTTAAAATTTATAAGATATTTTCTCCAAAGTCAAAAACTTTTAGTTTCTAGTTAGCATATATTTTTTAAATTTCTCACTGAATTGAGATAAGTAAAATTTATAATTTTCTAGATGCTTTAATAAAATTTTGAATTTGTAGGGGTGTTTTTGTAATTTAAAAACTTAGAGAATATTTTTTACAAAGTCGAAAAACTTTTAGGTGCTTCCTAGCATATGTTTTTTAGATTTCTCTACAAATTGAAATAAGTAAAGAATTTGAATTATATAAAACGTATCTATTTTATCCAATAACATGTTAAGTCTTATTATGAGTAGAATAAATCATTTGGTTACCAATTCAAAAAAGATAAGATAATTAAAATAGATTAGGATAACAATGTAATATTCAAAAAAACCTAAGGGTAATATTAACCATAAAAAGATTTTTCCGAACTCATACTTTTAAAGGGAGTATGATTTTTATAAATACTAAAAATTTTGGTTGTTTTTAAAGAAAATTTAAATTCTTAGCAATTTGCTGATAATTTTTAAATTTGATGTGTACTAGTTATAAGTTTTTATAATTTTAAAATTTTTTGTAATTTTTTACTTTTGAGGGAGATTTTGTAATTTTTATAACTGTGAGGTTATTTTTTATAAATTTTAAAATTTTAAGTCACTAATGGCAATCCCTGGAATTCATCTATGTTGTTTCTAAGTTTTAAAATCTCTGAATTTTAGGGTGTTTTTTTTTGCAATTTAAACTTTTTAAGGTTGTTTCTGAATTTTTTGAAATATTGAGTGTGTTATTTGCAAATTTTAAATTTTTAGATTTCATATTTGTTTTTTAGTTTTTAAAAGTCAAGGTGCTTTGTGTAATTTTACACTTTTAAGGATATTGTATGCAATTTTTAAAACTTTTGTGTTTTTCGTAATACTTCATGTATTATAATATGTTATCTATGTATAATTTCTTAATCTTATTTTTCTAAATTGTTGAGTTATAGGTAGTTCATATGGAGTTAATATATCATATAATTAGTATTTGGATAGATTAAAAATTAAATTAAATATTTAAAATAATTTTTTTAAATTGTTGAGTTATAGATAGTTTATGTGGAATTAGATAAGATATGATTAAAATTAGAATAGATTAAGATTTAAATAAAATATTCAAAATAGTGAAGGGTAATATTGACCATGAAAAAGTTTTTCTTGAACTCGTGCTTTTAAAAGGAGTATGATATGATATGATATGATATGATATGATGATATAATTTTTTTTTCTTTATTTCAATTTATGCTTAATCACGTGACTACTCTTTAACCCAATGGTCAAGATTTATATTGGATTTTTAATTTAAAGAATTAAAAATAAACAAGGTTTTCTTTCCAATTTCGGAAAACAAAACTAAATTACTTCATACATTTTTGCTATCACGATGTCAAACATTCTGAAAAAAATATATGCGTTGGAGAGAGAAGAAAAACGAAAGAAATTTAAGGTAAATGAAGTATGTCGGAAGACAAAGAATAACCTTGCAATTTTCAGCCATTTTCTATTTTTTATTTATTTAATAATTTGAAAAATTCTATTATCAGAGTACTTGTCTTGGATAATATAGTGTGATCCTATCCTAATCAAAAGAAATATTTTTAATAGGATATATTATATTGTGATCCTATCCTCATTAATAGAAATGCCTTTGATATGATACAAATTTGATTATAGATATTTATCCTGGAGCTTATCAAATGACATTCCAAAGGAAAGGATCAGTTTAGCTATGATTTGCATCTATTAATTTGCCTCAAAATTTCCATTGTCAATATTACCTTTGAATTTTTTTTGTATGCACTTTCTTTCACCTTTGGTACTATCGTGTATTTAATTGGCAGGAGTTTTGCTGTAACAAAATGACGTCTCTCAAATTTTTAGAACTTCCCTAGGGAGATCACGGCTTGATACCTTGCTTTTTTTTGGAGAGATGTCGGTTTTCATGAATAATATTGTTGCCCATTCGCATAAAAAGTGTGCAAATATAATAGTTTTATAAGAACTTTGTTTTTGGTTAGAAATTTTTTATCCTTAATTATTAAAAAATATATTAGCTTTGTGTATTAATAATTTGTGTAACATCTTGATATATAATTTTATTGTTCTTAAACAAAATGTTTTAGTAACGTGTTTTCTACCTATGAAATCTTGTCATGGACAACTTGAAGGTGGGAATGAATTAATCTCCTTTATTGGTCTCATATGACTTTTGTCAAGCATACATATGGATTTAACATGGATTTATCGTCACGTTATGCACTTGCTTTATGACATATAACGTGCAAAAATTGCAAGTTGAGATTTTTTGATATATTTGTTAGACCAAAATTCTAACATTTGTAATGACAGTTCAATGCAATAGGAAACTTGATATCGGTCTATAAAATGTCAAGTATGATAAGAGCAAATCTTTGTCATCGTCATAAAGTAGAGGAATAAAAAGTATTACCTTATCTAGTATAATATATTATCTGGTTTCATAATCTATTTTATAAATGAGTTATAGTAAAGACATAAACCTAATAGAAACAAGCAAAATATTTGATCACGTGCAATTCACGTGCATCCCACCTGGACATAACAATGATGAATTCAAGTACGTATTTGATGATATCAAAATTTGGAAGACTCATTTGAAAATACTTTGCCAACAACTGTTAAATAGCATAAGAATACGTACAATTACAGTATTCTTCCCCCAAATGCATGCATTAGCCACTACTAAACTAGGTTGGCTATATACTTTGCCAACAACCAAAAAAAGAGCAAATTAATGCAGCTTAACAGTCCTAAATTTATGATCGTCTTAGACGTTGTTTTCAGTAACTAAGACTTCTGGCTTGCACGTTTCGATCAAGAAGCTACACGCGCTCACAGCCTCAGCTACTGTAAGAAATATCCATTCGTGGCCAATTTTCTCAAGGATTTTGGATTTGTCCAGCTTCTTCATCAATTCGCTTCCGGGGTTAGCCAACACAAGCTGAACATACATTTGAAATTATTGTTAGAACAAGAAAACTCTAATGAAAATTTATGACAAAATTAAGGCTGATAATTAAGGAAAAGAGGGTCCTCTACACAAATTTGTATAATGATATCACAGATGAAAACTCGCGTCTTAATTAACATGAACCTTGATATACTTATAAGCATCAGCTATCAGCGCAGACTGTACTGATATACAGTACTGAATACACCGCTAGCTAACATGTGAGGCCAAGAGGCTTGTGTTAAGTTAGATTTCTTCATCTGCTATCTCCCTATTTTATAATTCTCTGTAGACGGCTCTCTTTCCAGTAACTAATATTACCTGAAGCCCTCTTCTGTCAAAAATCTTCTTCACTTCATCAAGCATGCTAATTCCGCTTGTGTCGATGCTAGCCACAGCTACAAACACACAAGAGATGGAGAGTTAAGACTCATGTAGTCGCACACGTGTGACAAACATACCGAACAGTATCCGCACGTGTGAAAGGCTCACTCACCACCCATATCTAGAATGACATATTGCAAGCTACTACTCTCCCCTTTTACTCCCAGTTTGTTTCCCTCCTCTTCCATCCACCGCCATATCCTACACAATAAAAAACGATCAGTATCTATAATAGTAGACGGTGAGATATGAAAATGTGCACATTTCGGGCAGATTAGTTTCTAGCTCACCTCTCTCTCAAGTAACCAGCATTGGAGAAGTATATTGGAGCGTCAATCTGAAGAATTAACACTCCAGGCACGGTCTGGGCCATCGGATATTGATCCACCCTTCTATAGGTTGCCGAGTTCGGTATGTTCCCTACTGCGGTGATTCTAGGCCTCGCGACGAATAACAAAATCCTGAGTACGGAGATTGCAACCTGTATTGATGTGTCTAAAGCAATCTTAGTTTTTTCGTCTTCTTATCTTTCAGGTTATATTTTTTTCTCTTCACGTATTTCCCCTATCTATTTTCCAGTCAACAAATTAAATTGCCTGTTTACAATAATAATAATAAAAAGTCTGTGTTGTTTGAATTTATGTACCGCTAGAACAAGTCCGATTTCAACACTGCCAAAGACTACACCAAGGAACGCCGCAACGCACACAAAGAAGTCCATCTTATCGATGTTCCATAGATGGAATGCTGCTCGATAATCAATGAGACTGAGCATCGCAGAGATAATAATGGCAGCAAGGGCTACTAAAGGCATATAATAGAATAGCGGCGTCAATAATAACAATGTGATCATCATTGTAGTAGCCATCACCACGTTTGATATTGCTGTTTTGCATCCTGCGTTGTAGTTCACTGCCGTTCTTGATAGTGAACCTTTTAAAGAATCACAAGTATTTTAATTAGCCAGTATGAGAAATTATTAAATTAAATATATCGGAAGGTGCATTTGATGAAGTAATGAAAAAAAAAAACCGCTGGTTAGGTAGCAAGATGTTAAAGATCCAGCAATGTTCATCATCCCAAATGCAATCATCTCTTTGTTGCCATCATTGTTGTAGTTCTTGATCATGGCAAAACTCCTTCCTATTGCAATTCCTTCCTGTGGATGTATGTCAACCAAGTACAAATACGGCAATTATCGAGATGCTTTGGCCGGGGTTGTATTGAAATGTGGTAGAGCTTTTTACAAGGGAACATACTACAAATTTTAAAATCAACAGAAAATATAACTAAAACATTCAGAAAACTATCCTGAAATAAAATATCATGAACTTTTATTTATGTTATATGAAACAACCGTGAATTATCAGATGAGGTCATTTTGAGTGTAATGAATTTTCATATGAAGTCACTAAACTACCATGAAATTTACAGTATTGTCAATAAAATGACCAAATAGATTTCTGATATTATCTGATATTTTATTCCTAATAAAGTGAGTTTACATTAATGTTGTAGAAAACCCCTATTAATATTTTATGTTAGTTTGGTAAAATTTACACTGTAGATCAATTTGTATGGAGTACTTACAGCAAGAGCTATTATACCAGTTACAATGCCAGCCTTGAGAGCAACAATCATGTATGGAGGAGACAAGGTCAAGCTTGTCAAAGAGGGTGGATTCAGCCCTTTCTGTAGGCGTCCTATCTGCAAAAAAATATGTGACCGAGAAAAATTAAACCAAACCTGTATGTTAATGGGCCTGCACATTTGTCAACAACAAGGCCCATCACATCACTCCATATCTCTAGAAATAAGATGGAAAATAATAAGGGCATACCCCCAACCACAACTCCGACCACACCCTCTCTCTCATTTGCTACAGTGCTCCGGGCCCCACATGGGATTTTAAAATTTAAAATCCCATGTGAGGCCCGGCGTACTGTAGCAAATAAGAGAGAGGGTGTGGTCGGAGTTGTGATTGGGGTGTGCCCCTATTGCCACTCAAATAAGATGAAGAACTAACCACTTGAACACCGTGGTTTTCTACATGAGTGAGGTAAACCAAGATGCTGCCTAAAATTACACAGGTCAACGGAGCTGCTGCAGAAACCCAGAAGAACTTGGGCCTTCTCTTGCTCTAATTAATCAAACAAAGTTAGTATAAACGTCATTAGTATCTTCCTTAAAAAAGTGCAATATTATTACAATCAACTCTTAGAAAAAAGAAATGTAAAAAAGAGGGTATTCACAGCTTTTATTATGGACTCTTTCAGGAAATTTCGGCCTATAAAATTAATCCATGGTGGTTTTGCCGTTCAATAGTTTAATGAATTCTCTAATGTTTCGGCCATATATCCCAAACAACATATTGGCTGAGCCCACTAAGGTAATTTACATAAAATAAGGGTTTTTTCTAGACACCGCCTTTAAAATAGGGTCAATCTATGGAAACTACCTTATATTGACAATTTATACGTAAACCCTCAATAAAGGTTTTTCGTTGCAATCAGCCATGTGGACACACTTTTAAGTCAAGCGTTCTCGATTTTGCTGTCATAATTAGTTACTAAATACCAAGTATATTAGAGAGATGATCCGTAGTAGAGGTTAGATGTGGTCAATCACCTTAAAAAAAACTTACCTAAAATGTGTACCATGTGGTTGATTTGTATAAAAAAATATATATCAAGATAGTTTATGTATAAATTAAAAATAAAGGTGATTTATATAGAATGATCGTATTTTAAAGGTGGTTTTGTGGATGGGTGGGGTTCGGGAGAAGTTTTGACCATGGGAGAAGAAGAATGATGTGCATTTGAGTTTTTAACTTGCGGTTTAAAGGTTTAAACCCGTTAAAGAAACATGCTGCTTAATTGTAAATGAGATTTATATATAATAGGAATACCATTTTATATCATTAGATATGAGGAAATATTCTCTTAGAGCAAATGTCATCTAACTATAGAGATCAAATCACAATAACTCTTATGATTTAAGGAACCTAGGAGCAATTTCAGTGATTTGAGGGATTGATATCAAGTTATTGAAGACGTGATGGACTAATATCTAAACTCCTCTAGCATGTAAGGACCCTCTAGAGGAAATGGTGTCAAATGACACCACTTTCTCTAAGGTGGATCCGCCTATGCATATCATATTCAATTTTTCCAAAAAATAATAATTATAGAAATTTGAGAGAGCTAGGCTACCCTAAGATGGACACCGTACTTTGTATGGAGGAAAAGTAGAGAACTTGTATGGAGGAAAAGAGCACTCGCTGTTTTGAGATCGAGTATGTTGTTTAATTTCTACAACTATATATATATATCTCCACAACTTGATTCTCTTCAATTTGCTACCTTACAAGCGTCCATTCTGTTGGAAAGAGGTGTAGATCAAACCTCATTTCAGATGAGGAGCGCCGGCGAGGAGCTCCGACGAGCTCGATGTCGACGCAGGCGAGGTCCAGGCGATCTTCGGCAGCACAGGCGAGCTCTGCGTTCGTACCCATCCCGAGCTCTGCGTTCGAACCGAGCTCTGTGTTCGAATCCAGCCCTACGTTCGACCCCCCCTCTCCTTTCAGCTCGGCGTTCGACCCCCCCTGCCGACCTCTGCGTTTGTTTTGGCGAACCCGACCTTTGCGTCAGGGTTATCCGCTGGCGACAGGCTGTCGCCAGCCCTCCACATCCGCCTATATAAACCCCCAATTTGCCTAGGGTTTTGCTGTAGCAGAGCTTCCCCCTTCTCCGATTTCTTCTCTCTGGCGGTGGCGGCGAACTGCCCAAAATCGCAGCAGCGATTTGTGATAAATCTCCAGTGTGAGGGGATTTAAGAGGAGAGAGAGAGAGAGATCATTAAAGAAGATTTATAGTGGGGTATTCATTTATTCTCAAGTGAGAATTGAAAGGGTTCATACCCTTTAATTATTAACACTGTAGCTACAGTGTTTAATTGAGAGATCTCATTTTTGATCTGCTCTTATAATTGTAATTTCTTATTTGATTAATAAGAAATTATCTGTGTGGCTCTCGAGGACGTAGGCAGTTGCCGAACCTCGTTAAAACTTGGTGTACTTTTTTCTATTCTGCGTTTCCATTGCATTAGGGATTTCGGCGTTAAATTCCCAACAACTGGTATCAGAACGTGAAACGATCTAGAGAAAGTCAGATTCAAGTAGGAGCCATGGCCGCAGATGAAGGGAAAATAAGACTTGAGAAGTTTGATGGAACAGATTTCGGATACTGGAAAATGCAGATAGAGGATTATCTGTATCAGAAAAATCTGTATCAACCATTATCGGGGAAGAAGCCAGATTCTATGAAGGAAGAAGAGTGGAACATTCTAGATAGACAAGGCCTCGGAGTTATCAGATTGACGTTGACTCGTAATGTTGCGTTCAACATAGCGAAGGAGAAGACCACGGCGGGTCTTATGGCAGCGCTCTCAAACATGTATGAGAAGCCATCAGCCGCGAACAAAGTTCATTTGATGCGGCGGTTATTCAATCTGAAAATGGCGGAATGCGCGTCAGTAGCACAACACCTTAATGAACTTAATACGGTTACAACCCAATTGAGTTCAGTTGAGATTGAGTTTGATGATGAAGTTCGGGCGTTGATACTTTTGTCTTCCCTACCAGAGAGTTAGAACGCTAAGTCACGGCAGTGAGTAGCTCGTCGGGAAAGAAAAAGTTGAAGTTCGGCGACGTTCGTGATTTGGTTCTCAGCGAGGAGATCCAAAGGAGAGAGACTGGTGAAGCTACAACCTCTTCAGTATTGCATACAGAGTCAAGAGGTAGAAATTCAACCAGAGAAAACGGACGAGGAAAGAATTCTTCGAGAAGTATGTTCCCGGAAATCTTGGATACGTATATCTTGGTAATGATCAACCATGTGCTATTGTGGGCAAAGGCGTGGTGAAAATTAAGTTGAACGGGTCTGTATGGGAGCTGAATGATGTCAGGCATATTCCCGACTAGAGAAAGAACTTAATATCCGTAGGCCAGTTGGCTGGCGAAGGTTATACCACGACCTTCCATGGAGATGATTGGAAGATCTCAAAGGGCGCAATGACGATTGCCCGAGGCAGGAAGACTAGTACCCTATATATGACAGCAGGTGCACGTTGTTCGATCTCAGTTGCAGCAGGCAATGAGACTTCAAAGCTGTGGCACCAGAGACTCGGTCATATGAGTGAGAAGGGGATGAAAACTCCCAGGTCTAGAATCAGTTGATTTAGATATGTGTGAAGAATGCATACTTAGAAATCAGAAGAGAGTTAGCTTTCAGACAAGAACCCCCAGGAAGGAGAAGCTAGAGCTCGTTCACTCAGATGTTTGGGGACCAACAACCACCGCGTCCATTGGTGGAAAACACTACTTCGTGACTTTTATCGATGATCACTCTCGGAAAGTGTGGGTCTACTTTCTGAAGCATAAGTCAGAAGTATTTGAAGCTTTCCCGCGTCCATTGGTGGAAAACACTACTTCGTGACTTTTATCGATGATCACTCTCGGAAAGTGTGGGTCTACTTTCTGAAGCATAAGTCAGAAGTATTTGAGGCTTTCAGGAGATGGAAAGCTATGGTCGAAAATGAGACTGGTCTGAGAATAAAGAAGCTCAGGACCGACAATGGCGGTGAGTATGAAGACACCGGATTCAAGAAGTTCTGCTATGAGCACGGGATCAGAATGGAGAGAACCGTGCCCGGCACGCCTCAGCAAAATGGAGTAGCTGAGCGAATGAACCGAACGTTGATGGAGAGAGCCAGAAGCATTCGAGTACAATCAGGCCTACCGAAGCAGTTCTGGGCAGAAGCGGTCAACACAGCAGCTTACTTGATCAACCGAGGTCCATCGGTTCCATTGGAGCACAGAATACCAGAGGAGGTATGGTGCGGAAAGGAGGTAAAACTCTCACATCTTAAAGTTTTCGGTTGTGTAGCTTACGTGCATATTAGTGATCAAGGCAGGAATAAGCTTGATCCCAAGTCAAAGAAATGCACTTTCATCGGCTATGGTGAAGATGAGTTCGGCTACCGCATTTGGGACAACGAAAACAAGAAGGTGATCAGGAGCAGAGATGTGATATTCAACGAGAAGGTGATGTACAAGGACATGCACAAGACTGACGACTCAGAGAGCGAGTCCACATTTATAGATGCAGATGATGTCCCGAGTAACCTCTCGGAAGAACCCAATGCAGAGGGTCCTCAGCAAGAAGAGCCTGTTGAACAAGATGGTGCGCAGGAGCCCGACGCACCAGCTCCGATATTAAGAAGATCTTCTCGTCCTCCTGTACCCAACAGGAGCTACATGAACTATCTGTTGTTGACAGATGGTGGGGAGCCTGAAAGCTTTGATGAAGCTTGTCAGTGTGGAGATGCGAGCAAGTGGGAGCTTGCAATGAAAGATGAGATGAAGTCTCTCATATCAAACCAGACGTGGGAACTAGCTGAGTTGCCTACGGGTAAGAAGGCACTCCACAACAAATGGGTGTACCGGGTGAAAGAGGAGCAGGATGGTTCCAGAAGATATAAAGCCCGACTGGTTGTCAAAGGTTTCCAGCAGAAGGAAGGAATTGACTACACCGATATTTTCGCTCCCGTGGTGAAGCTAAATACTATCAGGACCGTGATGAGTATTGTAGCAATTGAAGATCTTCATCTCGAGCAGTTAGACGTGAAGACGGCGTTTCTTCACGGAGATCTAGAAGAGGAGATATACATGCACCAGCCAGAAGGTTTCTCAGAAGAAAAGAAGAAGAACCTGGTGTGCAGACTCAAGAAGAGCTTGTATGGCCTGAAACAAGCCCCAAGACAGTGGTACAGAAAGTTTGACGGCTTTATGCACAAGGAAGGTTTCCAGAAGTGCAACGCCGACCACTGTTGCTACTTCAAAAGATATTAGTCCAGTTATATCATCTTACTGCTGTATGTTGATGATATGTTAGTTGTAGGAGGAGATATGGAGGATATCAAGAGTTTGAAGCAGCAGCTGTCAAAGGAGTTTGACATGAAGGACTTGGGTCCAGCGAAGAAGATCCTTGGAATGCAAATCACGAGAGATAAGAAGAGAGGTCTCTTATAGTTATCTCAGACAGAGTACATCAACCGTGTTTTGCAGAGATTCAACATGGGCAACGCCAAGCCTGTGAGCACACCCTTGGCCAGTCATTTTCGTCTATCGAAGGATCAGTCTCCTCAGTCAGAAGAAGAGAAAGAGAGTATGGCTCAGGTACCTTACGCCTCAGCTATCGGAAGCTTGATGTACGCTATGGTCTGTACGAGACCAGACATTGGCCATGCAGTGGGAGTGGTCAGCCGGTTTATGTCGAATCCAGGAAAAGCTCATTGGGAAGCGGTCAAGTGGATTCTGAGATATCTACGAGGCACCACACAGAAGTGTTTGCACTTTGGTAAGGGAGAGGTAGAAGTGCAAGGGTACGTAGATGCAGACTTTGGAGGTGAAGTTGATCACCGAAGAAGCACCACCGGCTATGTATTCACCGTTGGAACTACAGCTGTTAGTTGGATGTCACAGGTACAGAAGATCGTTACCCTATCCACTACAGAAGCTGAGTATGTTGCAGTGACTGAAGCCAGTAAAGAGATGATATGGCTTCAGGGTTTGTTGACAGAGCTGGGATTCAAACAGGAGAAGAATGTTTTGCACAGTGATAGCCAGAGTGCGATACACTTGGCGAAGAATTCAGCATTTCATTCTAGAACGAAGCATATTGCGCTTCGGTACCACTTCATCAGATCCCTGTTGGAAGATGACGTGTTGAAACTGGAAAAGATTCCAGGAAGTAAGAATTGTTAGTTTTGGGGGTGGATTCAAACCTCCGACGGCGGAGGAGCTCCGACGAGCTCCGACGAAGCTCGAAGCCCAGGCGAGGTTGTCGACGACCAGACGCAGGCGACAGAACGAAGCTCGAAGCCCGAGCTCTGCGTTTCGAACCCCCTCGAACTCTGCGTTCGCCTCTTCCCCCTAGCTCTGCGTTCGCCTCCTAGCTCTGCGTTTGTTTTGGCGAACCCGACCTTTGCGTCAGGGTTATCCGCTGGCGACAGGCTGTCGCCAGCCCTCCACATCCGCCTATAAACCCCCCCCCATTTGCCTAGGGTTTTGCTGTAGCAGAGCTTCCCCCTTCTCCGATTTCTTCTCTCTGGCGGCGGCGGCCAACTGCCCAAAATCGCAGCAGCGATTTGTGATAAATCTCCAGTGTGAGGGGATTTAAGAGGAGAGAGAGAGAGATCATTAAAGAGGATTTATAGTGGGGTATTCATTTATTCTCAAGTGAGAATTGAAAGGGTTCATACCCTTTAATTATTAACACTGTAGCTACAGTGTTTAATTGAGAGATCTCATTTTTGATCTGCTCTTATAATTGTAATTTCTTGTTTGATTAATAAGAAATTATCTGTGTGGCTCCCGAGGACGTAGGCAGTTGCCGAACCTCGTTAAAACTTGATGTACTTTTTTCTATTCTGCGTTTCCGTTGCATTAGGGATTTCGGTGTTAAATTCCCAACACATTCATGAGGTATTTATAGACATCATTGGTACTTCTACAACACTCCAATTCTATGCACTTTCACTTCTACACATTTTTACTTTTAAATACTTTTACTCATCTACAAACTTCATAGCAAACTATGATTCTCCTTGAAGCTATTGAAGCTATAAAGTTTGAAAAAAATCCTAGGGATCCTTCTAGACTTTTACCAATTATCATGATACTTAGGAAATCTTCTAGAATACTCTGGGACTAAAGACTTCCAAAGTTTTTCTAGATTCTCTCAATAGCGTTCAACAAATACTTCTTCATCCTACGACTTGTGGACGAACTCTTGTGGACGAACTCAAATTGATCCAGTGATAGCCTTATTTGTGATCATTGTGCTAAGGGGGTATGTGGATACGTGAGAATATATACAGGTCCTAAAGAGTGAGGGGAAAATGAAAAAGAGAAAATTACTTACAAAATAGCGTGCACTGAGGAGAAGGACGAGGAAACCACATCCAAAAATTGCACTCTCCCATCTCCACTGCAAGTGAGAAGCGAAATAAAACCCCAATTATTACACAACAGAGACAAATTATTAAGCACATCCAAACATTCAACTTGAAAATTTTCCTTTTTGAGTTATCCTATATGAGGCGGGTATTTGGGTATATATGTCTAGTTAACCTCGTGGGTGCGGCTGAAGACTGATTTCATAACAGAGACAAGGTCGGTCTCTTTAGTGAAGTGTTCGAGTCCAAGAATGCCCTTGAGCTGGCGAAGGCAAACCACTGTGGCTGCTCCTCCAATGAACCCCACTATTGTCGCATGTGATAGGAAATCCACCACGAACCCTAACCTGCGATAAGATCCATTTATTTACAAGACAGTTCAATTCAAGAGAAAACCAATATTGATGCTAGCTTGTTAATATATAGGACTCATGCACAAACCTAATGCTTCCAATGAAGAATATTAATCCTTGTATATCTTTGTAATCCAAAAAGGGTTGGAGATTAGTGCACTATTCAAGCGTTGTTATTAGTTTGACGTGTCGTTAATGTTGTAGATATTAGATACTTGATATGTTACTTGGTAAGTTGATGCACCTCTAGTTTATTGATTTGACGTTTTATATGGTGTTCTCTCCTTCTTTCTCTATTTTTGTATTTTGATCTAGGTGCAGCCAGAATATATAGGATGGCACCATCAGTAGACTCCTGTGACAATCTATTTTCAACTTTTTAGTGAAGTGTAACCATTCATGTAACCTTTTTTCAACTATTTAAATTATTTAATTGGTCATTAAGATTGTTTCTTATAATCCAAGTCTTTCTTTCTTCTCACTCAAACTTTTAAAGCTTTATTTAAATATTGCATTAGGTGTAATTGTGAAAGATTGTCAAACCAAAATGGAACCCATGCATTAGGTGTAATTGTGAAAGAAACGTTTCGTCTGACTAATTGTACGAAAGAAATAATTGGGTCAGTTTCGAAAAGAACCCCTTAAAATTAAGCCCTTCTGAGAAAATCACCTAAACTTTCTAACAAATAACTCCGTTAAATGTCAGTTAACCTCCATACTTTGGGCTTCCCACATAATCTCCCAAATGTTTTCGAATTTTACAAATAACTCCCTTGACAGTGTCAGCCCTATTTTTGATGTTCGCAGTTCGAATTAAGGTGTTAGTTAGCTAGAAAAGTAATGTGGCAAAACTTATGAGGCATCAAGTGACCACATTTATGAAGTTTGTTGTCTCAAACATAGCCAAACCTAAGGTGGTTTTGTGAAATTTACCCTTAATAGTTATTTTAATGGCTTTGGAAATACACCTAAATTTTCATTATCTTAAAATTTTACTCAAGGTCGGTCCAGTTTTCTTCTATGTGCTGTTGGATAATACCCATAACTTGTATTGATATCTAGGACACAAACAGACACCGATACACATACAGATGGGGATATGATACGTAACATGGTGGATACGAAAATGAGTCTAAATTTTGGTCAGGTACGGATACAAGTACAGCTAACATTTTTCGATACAAATACGAATATTAATTCAGATTTCCTTAATTATTATTGACAGGGATATGTATGAAGCCTGACATGAGTACCTCAAGACGCCTAACGCCATTTGAAAGACCCCGGCAAAGAAGGTAGCGGTGATGGCCAAGCTTAAGTAGAGAGCCGGCTCTTTGACGGGAGAAACCTCCTTTCCAAGCATTGTTGCTAGCAAAAGCGAGGGAACTGGTCCGGTACCAATCGCCACATCCTTTGAGCTCCCCATTATAGCGTACACCATTGGTGGCACGAAGCTCGAATCTGCACCGTCCATTTATATACACGCCAGTTATTTTGCATCCTTTGATTCATTATGGTAGAATTATTGGGTAAAATAGCAAATATACACATCTATTTCAATTGTAAATTTGCTAATACGGTTGATGATTTGAAAAACTCTATCTTTTCCACCATTACATAATATATAAGAGGATGATGCATGTTTGACATATTAATTTTCTTAGCGCGCTTGAATGTATATATACTATAAGTAGATGAAAGGATCAAAGTCTATATTTTCTGGGTTTTTCTAATAGGTGCCGTAGGGCACCCATTAAATTGGATTAGATTTGCTATATATTGACAATCCCCTTAATTAGTACTTAATTGAAATTAAGTATCACATGTCCATTAATTCTATCATTTATCAATCATTCCAAATAAAAGCACTGAATTTTTGATGACATTTTCCCTTCAAAGTAATAAAAGAATAAAAGTCGAATTTTTTTTAGTTTTATTGAAAACAAAGTTAAATTAAAGAGGTGTTATCTTTCAAAAAATAAAAATAAAAAAGGGTTCAATTCCACTATACCTTCAAGGCAAATATAATATAACTTTTTATTTTCTACAAAATTTTTTATATTGAGTAAGTATTCATATGTTTGTTTATAGATAAGTTCAACAATATAAATGCATATTTGACTTATATTTTTCATTTTGTCAAACTTCATGTATTTAATAAATTGTCAAACTTTAAGTCAAATGAAAAAAAATTCCATGCATTTGATCCAATATTAAAACAATACATTTGTTCTTTATTTTGCGAAACCAATATTTTCAAACATAAGTCAAATGAAAAAAAAATTGTTATCCAAGTTTGGATTATCATGTATTTTTTTACTGATCATAATAAAAGTTGGTAACGTCAAAGAATAATGAGGGAGGAAATTCTACAAATTATCATGTGCTTTTTGATTTGGGATGATCAATAAATGGTAGGATTAATAGACATATAATTCTTAATTGCAATTAACCACTAATTAAAGAGATTATTCATAAATAACTAACCCTTTTTATACAGGTGATATTTCAGATCTTGCAAATCCTATTTCCAATTCTTTGTTTTGTTCAAACCTTTTTACAAAAATACTCCTCAAATCTTGATATTTATAAAATTACTCTTCAGAACTAGCATATTGGGCCTTTCTACCGCTCCAACTTAATAACGATGTTTTTAGACAAGGCAATGTCAAAAATTTGCAATAATTTTCTATAGGTTTGCAATAATTTTCTGTTTAAAAACTAAACTAGTTAAAATAGGAGGGATATAAAAAAAAATTCAATGTAAGAGAATTGGGAGATAATTTTGTAACTACCAAGATTTTGCGCGTAACTTTGTAAATATAGAAGATTTGAGGAGTATATATGTAAAAATCCCAAAAAAACAACCAACCCCCTTCGGTGATCCAAAAAAATCTTCTTAGAGTACCGACGGCATATAAACCAATTAAGCGACAGGCAACCGGGTATCTAGCTCTCTATGGAGTTCCACGGGCAAGAGTAGTGTAATTATACTGAACTTTGAATTTAACTGTAAGGGCAATTTAGGTACTAACAAAGAAGCGTCAGTTATAGAAAGTGACTTCAAGATACTCGCGGGGAAGTGATTATGATTCTACAGATGTGATTTTTTTTACCAAATTAAGAGGGAGTGCGGTTATTTTTTTACCTAATTAAGAGGGAGCAAGAGAGAAAAAAAAAAAAAAAAAAACTCACAAAAACCAAATAGGAGGCAAGCCGGCCAGCCTAGCATAACTAATACCCTCCGGGATAGCCAAGCTCGCTATCGTGATCCCAGAAACAAGATCAGCCTTAAACAGTTTCAAGTTATAGGAAGGAGCCCAGTTGAGGATGGGTAAGATGTACCGCAGGAAGAGTATAAACCTCCGAGAACCACTCTCTCCCTTGAATTGCCTCAATGGGTCGTCGGGAAAAAAAATCTCCTTCAAGTTGGCTCCTAGACTCTGTAGGAAAGGGCAAGAAGGAGGCACCGGCACGTGATGGGGACACCCCTCGCACATTGTTGGTATAATGGTGTGATTTGTAGACTTGCTATATTTGGTAGAGTAGAGGATCGATAGAGCAAGAAGAAGAGTGAGATTAGACTTGCTCCATTTGAAAGAGTAAGAAGAAGACTGAGATTAGATGAGAGGAGGGAGACAAGAGGGTGCTTATATAATAGGTATCTTGTGTTAAGCTATGGCTGAGAATGCTAGTAACTTAACCTGGTTCTAGCCCACATCACTTATAGCGAGGAAAAAAAAGTCCTATAGAGTGATCAAATATGAACAAAAAAGATGATCCTACATGTTCCACTATCAATTTTAAATTTGTATATTCATATTAATAAGATGACACGAGGGAAATGAGAGAGGTGATTATCATGGTGGAGCGACATTGTATCTATTGGTATTTTAGGACATCCCTGGATTGTCTATTTTATACATATGTTTCTTTTCTATTTTTTTTTTTTGTATTTACTACTTAGCATGCTAATAGAATTAGATTAGGACACCAGTAAAATGTTTGAAATTGCAAAATTACCATTATAGATTCCAAACACAATATGATATATTATATGGGGACACACCCGGTAATTATACAGTAAGATTCTTATTAAGTTAAGCTAGAGGATGTTGATTACTTAACTTGATTCTCTAGTTAGCTACAACGAATAGGGGAAAAGAATCTTACATATACGAAGAAGCTGGTGACAAATGTTTCACTATCAATTCTAAATCAATCAGCGTATATGATATCAGTGCAAGTAGAATACATATCCATAATCGTAATCACTAGCTTTAGAACATAGATTTGACTCAACCACTTACTCTGCAAATGATCTTGTACAGAGAATCTTTCATATGATTCAAACCATCCCCCCTAGTGGTATGTACGCCCATATATATTAAAATAATTTTATTGTTTCATCCATGATGTTGTTTATGCTGTACTTATAACTTTTTTCCCTTTCGTCTTTTATTATTATTATTATTTACACTCACATGGTGTCAACATTAGAAACAAAGCAAAATTATGCAAGTTATTCTTTCCAAACACTTTCCGGCAAGAAACTTTTAAGTCCTGTGATGAAGAAAACAAGAAGATTAAATGAATATCAACCCAAGATATTTAAATTAACTTGAACGATATGATTATTAGCGATTATTGATAAAAAAAACATGATCCCATAAGGCATCAACCTTCACATTCTGATTTAATAGTTTACCAAAGATTGATTTTATTTATCAAAAGAATGTACAGAAAATTTTAATAGATGTTGATCGATTTTTGGCAAGTTTATAGCATGAATGTTGATTTACTTCTAATTCTCTACATCTTTGTTTACGTTGAAGTCTCACAATCAGTCATGTATAAATCAATAATATCTCTTCTTCCGGTTATAATTCTATTATTTCATGGGTCTTACAGAATAAAAGATATTATTTGTTCACATGAATGAATGAATTGATAGAATTTCTCTATAATAAAAAAATAGACAAATTGTATCAAGGCCCCAGAAATTAAAACCCAGTGTGTCACAGTCCTCATATTATTCCCCTTGTGTTTCAGCCCCCCCTACCTTGTATTTTACCAAGGTTCCTTTTTTTTACCATTTTTTACTCTTCACCAATTAAAAAGCCCTATGTCCCTCTCACGGAGTTCTCCTCTTCCACTTCCCATGCTGATGTCGTCGCTGCTCGCCTTCCTCCTCTCTCTTCATTTCTCCTTGTCTTCTCCTCTTTCTTAACCCTCCTGCTTTCTCCTTCCCTGCTCTCTCCTAGACCAAACCGTGACCCTCCTCCTCTCCCTTTTAATCTTTCCCTCTGCCCCCACCATCTCCTTCTCTTGCCACCTCTTCCCTCACCACCAATCTCGAGCGCATCAGTGGGCTCGTTGAAATATATTCAGAATGCAAGAAAATTGATAATATATGTATGTCTTTGATGAAATGATTAAGAGAGATGTGGTTTCTTTGAGTGAAATTGATTGAGAGATAGATGTGAAGAGGAAGAATGAAGGTTTGGGGACATTTCGTGAGATGTTGAGGTGTGGAATTAAATCAAGTGATTTCACTTTTACTAAGATTTTGGATGCTTGTGGAGAGATTGCGACTAATGGGTTTGGGAAGGAGATTCATGGACATATGATAAGTATTGGATTTGATTCAATATTTTTTGTTGTTGCTACTCTTGCTGATATGTATTCAAAATGTGGGAATGTTGGGATATGTATTCAAAATGTGGGAATGTCGAGAACGTGAGGTGTTTTTTGAGGATAAAATGATGATTCTGTTGCACTTGTTTAACATTTGTGTTTTGTTAAGTATTAATGACCATGGTCGAAGCTTGAGATAGTTGAGGAGTAAAGTTTAGAGACAGGGATTGTAGTTTGAGAGAATGAGTATGTAATAATAACACGTCATGTACAAAGAAAAAGTAATAAAGATATTGTTATATAGTTGTGTGTATGTAAACAACAACATTACACGAACTTGTAGTTGTATGAGTTGATTATGAGTTATGAAAGATTGGTTGTGTCTTACCTAGTTAATGTTAAATTTACTTTAAAGAAAAAATAAAGTTGAGAAAGCATTAGGTGCTCGCTAAAGCTAACAAGTAACAAGTACTAGCTAAAATTAATAGGTACTTGATATATAAGTACTAGATAAGTTTAACAGATACTTGATATAGTTAGTATGTAATGAGTATATCTAACATGCATTGAATATAGCTAATAGATACTAAATATGGTTAATATGATAAGTGCTGGATTTAATTCGGGATTTTTTGTGGTGCTACTGTTGTTGATATGTATTCAAAATGCGGGAATGTTTAGAAGGCGAAGGTATTTTTTGAGGACAAAACGATAATTCTTTTGCACTTATTTAAAATTTGTGTATTCTTAAGAGTTGGTGGTCATGACCGAAGCTCAAGAGAGTAAAGGACTAAAGTGTAAAGAAAAGGATTATGGATCAAAAAAGAGATAGTATGTAATAATAACATGTCATGTATAAGAAAAATGTAATGGATATACTATCATATAGTTGTGTGTATGTCAACATCAATAGTATGCAAACTTATAGTTGTATAGGTTGATTGTGAATTATGAAAAACTAGCTGTGAATCTTACCTAGTAATATTAACTTTACTTTAAAGCAAAAAATAAAGATGATAAAGCATTAGGTACTGGCTATACTTAACATGTACTGGCCAAAGCTAATAGTTATTAGATATAATTAACATGTACTAGATATAGTTAACATGTAATAGATATACTTATCAGGTACTGAGTATAGATAGTGGGTACTAGATACAGTTAATATGATAAGTGTTAGATCTGACTCAGGATCTTTTGTTGTTGCTACTCTTGTTGATATATATTCACAATGTGGGAATTTTGAGAAGGCAGTGGTATTTTTTAGGCAAAATATTAATTTTTTTACACTAGTTTGATATTTGTATTTTAATAAGAGTTGGCGGCAATGACCGAAGCTCGAAAGAGTAAAGGAATAAAGTGTAGAAAGATGGATTGTTGATCGAGAGAGGGAATATGTAATAATAACACGTCATGTACAAAGAAAATTTAATGGAGATATTGTCCTAGAGTTGTGTGTATATAAACATCAACATTACACAAACTTCTAGTTATATGGGTTGATTGTGAATTATGTAAGATTAGTTGTGAATCTTACCTAGTTAATGTTAACTTTACTTCAAAGCAAAAATAAAAATGAGAAAGCACTAGGTGTTGGCTAAAGTTAACAGGTACCTGGCTAAAAATAATAGCCACTGCTTATAGTTAACATGTATTGGATATAATTAACATCTACTGGATATAGTTAAAATATAATGGATATATTTAATAAGTATTGAATACAGTTAACATGTATTTGATATAGTTAACATATGGTGGATAAACTTAAAATGAAAGTGATAAACTTAGCGTGTAATAGGTAAACTTAACTTTTAATTAATTAACTTAACAAGTTATTAAAGAAGTCATGAGGTAGCTTGAAGGAACATATGCATTTATCTTGAAAGTGCATGCTATCCTTACAAGCTTATTGCGTGCAATCATTGTAGTAAACTAATCTTTAGTGTCAAGGAACATTTTAGTAAAGTTTTCTAATCTTTATTTTTTATTCAAAATATTTTTTTTGTATTTACTTAGCTAAAGCAATATTGGATTGTCTAACTAAACACAAGTATTAACTTAAAATCAAAACTTTGTACTCTTCTTTGCATTTAAATGATGAGAAAACTCACATACCATTAGCACGGACCATAAAATCCTAATTCAACAATGTTGTGCATTACAAAAATTGAATATTGTCTCTAAATCAAATCTTTAAATTTGTAGAGACCTCACACATCTCTTTTCAATGTTTTATTAAATACTTTACAAGCAATCTCTAAGAAATCAAATTGATGATGGTGGTGGAGGGGAAGATATTGTCAAACTAGTGGGGATGAGCTCAAGGCTAGTGGTGGAGGACGAGTGTAAAACCCTGTAAATTTGAGAATATTGTGATTAATAATGATAAATAAGTTTTAATTATGATAAATACCATTTAATGATGGATGAGTATGGTAGTAATTGATTTGAGATCAACAAAGTGTGTATATGAGATTATACAAGTGTTAAACATACACAAAACGAGTGGAAACATGTACACATGCACAAATCAAATGACTCAGTTAGACCTCTAGTCGGTCGACCAATGACAAACCATCAGTCGACCGATAGGCACCTATCAGTTGATTGATGGCAACCCATCAGTCGACCGATGGGCAGTTTTCCAGTTTTACTGGGTTTCTGTTTTCGGGTCTATTGTTTAGAATCGGGTTTATTCGTATATATATGTATATTTCAAGAATTCTCCCACTTTTCTTACTCATATCTAAGCCCTAGCAGAAGCTATACCCTCTCTCAAAAACCTAACCCTAAATTAGAAGTTTGGCAAAGCTTCGTGAAGCGGATACCGAAAGGAGGGTGAGATTTGCAACGTTTGGTGATGAGGGATTGAGCTTTGCTTGTCTCTATGAGATTTGCACGTAGTGAAAGGAAATATCATCTTCCTCCAAACCTCTCCTTAGTTAAAAATTAAGTCTTTACGTGATAACAATAGGCGTCTAAAAAT